TTTGTTTTGAATAATTGGCGATTCGTAGTAGTGAACAGTTTCCAACTCCATATTAGCACAGGTTGAAGTGTGATCGTTTGAATGGTGTGAAAGTTTCGACAGACTTTGCGAGGGGGGGATGGCGTAAGACTGGATCTGGGGCTCGAAGGGGGTGTAACTACGGTTGCTTTGAAGTTGGGACTCATCGGACCGAAGCCCCTCCCCCTTCGAGGCTTTTAGTCGCATCGAGTGGGCGGCTATAGTAGTCGGGGGGTCTGTTGTCTCGACAGAGTGCTCGTAAATTGTGTTCAAATTCCGGTAGATTGAAGATGTCGGCAAGTAAGCTGCTTTGTAAACGGACTCCTGAAAACATGCTTTCAGTTTTTCATTTGCTTTCCGCTCCAAAGTAACTTTTATGATGGATATTTTTTTTCTACTCCTCTTCACTAATTATAACGGCTCTTTTTCCTTTTCCCCCCACCTCACTCAAACATGAGCTTTATGGTCTAACGAATGGTTTTACGCGGTTTATTATGAAGACCAAATATGTTTGCCATGGCATAATTAGTCTGCATGTCAATTTTCATCACAATTGGACAAAGTGAACGGTAACTTCATATATAAAAATTTGCAGGTGGGGGGTGGGAAAGGAAAAAGAGCCATTATAACTTCTTAGTTTAGACCCATCCCAGAAGTTTATATTTTGGACGACATTTTTCTGGGGTTTTGTAAGGAAATGATCCGTGATTCCTTAGGTTTATCATTAAAGAACGTAAAATACAGAGCTCTTTTAGTCACCCCCCCCCCCCCATATTTTGAAACTTGAGTTTGAAAAACTATTTCAACATTGTCATCATGCAATGACACTTAACGCATATTGAACAAACCAACAAAATAACAAATTTACTGAATTTACTTCCTACTTTACATCAAACATCACGCATCTAATATGATATCAATAAAACAACTATGAAAATTTGAAATGTGGGGGGTGGAAAAGAGCCCTTTTATCTTATAAACCCCCCGTTATAGTAGCCCCCGCTTCATAAGTTTTTTGTTTTTTGGGACGTCTATTCTTAAAGGGGGGTGGCTATTAGGAGATTGAGCCTTGAATTCTGAGGTTTCTTTTTTAAATTGAGCGTCCATCTAAAACTGGAAGAAAAATATAAAGGCAGCTCACTCTGAATTGTTCCTCGCCGTCTAAAGTAGGCGAGTGGTCAACATCCAACACGTGTTCGTTGAATCTCCGACTTCTCTCTTCGTCGTCGTTGTGCGTCGGAGTGTCTATTTCGTGCATCTCGTATCTAGCGGCGTAGTCTGCACAACCCATTTAATAAACAGAGCCAATTTCAGAAATGCTGTACACGTAATATTCATCCTTTCATTAGTTTATGAAACTTGGACAACTTTGAAAATAACTTTTTCTAATATGTTTGGTTTCATCGTGAAAGTTTTTTGTTTGGTTTTGATATTTTAGGTCAAAAATGGAGCAATTTTGTCCATTTTATTTTTTAGCACGTGCCTTTTTCTTATACACGGTACACCTAACACTCAAATTCTTAGGTTCTTTCTGCGTATGATCCATAGACAGTCGGAACTTTGTCTATGGACTAGAGTATTTGTCATACTTTAACATACAAGGAGTCTATGGGAAAAACTATTGTCATCAACCCATGGAAATTGTAACTAGAACTTTTTCCATTAATGTTTCTGCTTACATCAAATTGGCAAACCGTGTTTAAATTGATTTAGAAAAAAGCGCAAAAACGCCAGAATGAGCTATTACGCTTAAAAAAAACTGATTTATCAAGTTGGCTTGACTCTTTTCAACTCCCCTCCCCCGTGCCTACATACAAGTTCCAGCTGTGAAAAACTATTTCAACATTGTCCTAACGTAAAACATTTCATGGTAAAGAAAATTAAATATTGTGAACAGATTTGCGCTCTTTTCCGATTTTTGATATTTTTCTGAAATTCTTTTGACAAAAGTCTATTTAAATTTAGTTTCCATGTTCTAAACTTCAATAAAATGTGGGCTCTTTTCCCTTTTATCCCACCTCAGAATTTTCTATAGTAATTTTTTGTTCACCTTTTGTTTTTTTTTTTTTCACTTTCCTCCCACATTTGAATTTCCGTTTTGAATAACTAATTTTACGTTGTCATAATCTAACAAAATTTTGCATGGTGAACAAACTAATTATTGTGAACACATACGTTCTTCATACCTTACATTGTAAAATCACTCATTGAGCCATGAAAACTTTGTATGTGGACTTATAAGGCCATGGCAAACATATTTAGTCATCATATTTAACCTTGTATCCAACAGTTAGACCATAAAAATGATGCTTATGTGAGGTGGGGGGAAAATGAAAAAGAGCCGAAATGTGTCAGCGTGAAAAATGAACCAATTGTTACAAGACTTCCTAGATGCAAATTACCGTTTGAACAATTTTTGAACAGCCTTATATTTTAACTTTACGAGGCTGGTCAGTTTCCCAATCCTTCGTAAGTTAATCACATAAAATTATTAGAAATTGTTACTTTAATTAGCATGCAAGAAATGTTTAGGAATTTTTTCAGTTTGGTCAAAACTACAAGTTTTTCTTGCAGTTAAGAACATAAAAGTTCATTTTAAATAGGCTTTTGTAATTTGGCTTTATTACTTTAATTAGCATGCAAGAAATGTTTAGGAATTTTTTCAGTTTGGTCAAAACTACAAGTTTTTCTTGCAGTTAAGAACATAAAAGTTCATTTTAAATAGGCTTTTGTAATTTGGCTTTCAGAAAATGGAGAGCTTTAGGAGAACTGGAAAAACACAGCCAAAAATGTCTCTTCGGTATTTCGAAATTTGAATTTAAAATGTGGGTGCAGTTATTGAAAAACAGGAATTTAATTTAATTCTAAATTTCAAGAAACTGCTTAAAAATCGTATCACAAAAAATTGAGTTTGGCATGGTGAACAAGTTACAAATTCAGAGTTGTTGTCCATAGCGTATATCGCAATTTTGTGGGTTTAGCCATAAGTAAACGAAGAAAAAAATTGGAGGTTGAGGGAACGGAAAAGCCCAACTTAAACTTCGAATTTGAAAAATTGAATTAGCCTTGTAACAAAAACATTATAACTGATCACAAGTTTATGACACCTTTTCCAGTTTTTTTTCCTTTACAAGCCCACCAACCGCCTCAATTTTAAGAAACCAAATTCTTATTGTCAATAGAAAATGAAAAAGTAACTCAGTAATGTTTGGAAAATAATCATAAAATGGCCCATACTTTGGCGAGGTTGTTAAAAACTGATATTTCAACTGCTATTAGCAGAAAACATATTACATAATATTATGAAATTTTTATAAAAATTATGTTTATAAGTACTTTATTGTTATTAGTATAAGTTTGAATTGCTCAAACTAATACTAATAACGAGTAACAAAACTATTATGAACATATTTGATTATAATTTTTAGCGCAACATTGCGTTTTTATCCCAATAAATACATTTTAAAAGAAATTTAAATTACTTGTTTTTTGTAAATTACAAAAGTTCACTAAAAACAGATAAAAAAAGTTGTAGCCGTCATTTTGATCCTTTTCAGCTTTCCACTCCTATCCAAAGTCGCAGCACTTACTGCGTAAAGTTTAATCAAAAGGCGTGTGAAAACAATCTGAACATAAACCGGGCTTGAAATCTTTTACTTCGCTCCAAAATATTTTCAGAAACACTTCCACAGGGCATAAATTTTTGTGTACAAAAAATTTTCAACCGCATGTCTTTATGGATCCTTTGTTTATTTTACGAGTAATTTGCCACAACTTGTGCTGAAAAACTTATTTTTTTTTCGGCAAAAAATTAGCAATTTTTTATCAGTAATTAGCTCAGATTTTGAAAAAGTTTCAACTGGTAGATCATCAATGAAATATCTCTAATTGATCAAAGTTTTTCTATAAATAATAGCTAATATTTTAGCTAAGAAATATTACGGAATTTTACATGAAAGTTATCCTAAGATTGGGTTAACAATTTTTCAAGGCTTTTAATTTCGGGGAACTCAACCTGGATTCCGCACACTTTGCGATTTTGTTCGGCAAAAACTTTAAAAATAAAATTTTTCAAATGATCAAGAAATTGTTGCATGTTGTCTGTCATAAAAAAGATCAAAGAAAACTTACAATCAATCTAGATAGGTTTTATGTGAAACTTTTTGACTTAAAACAAAAAACAAAGGGCTGATTTTGTGGGTAGTCAGAGGATCTAATCCGTGAGGAAAGGGTGTCCCCGCCATCCACCATAAATCAGCTACTGAGCGGGTGGACGGGGAATTTTTGGATCTAAATTGACCTAAACTCATATTTCATCGATAGTACTTTTTGAACGCTAACTTTTTTTACGCGACAGGAAAATACATTTTTTCTCTTTTTTTTCTAAAAAAAACGCTTTTATAGCTATTTCGTTATGACTACCGTTACCAAAAAGAACAGCATTTCAAATTTTTACCCAGAATGATCGCTCCTTCAGTGGTACTAGATGCAGTTAGAATCTCCACAGTTCCCTGTGGTTGGCTGATCAAGTCACGTGCATCCGTCCGATTTAAGTATTCTGTGCTCTTAGCCGAATAATACGACGCTTCTTGACTTGAACCCGAGGGCTGTTCTGGAACACATGTTACATAATCATTTCCTGTCGTTAATTCGCTCGGAACGTTGGTACTTTTCTCGTCGGCGAAGCTTATCGTCACAGTCGCTCCTGGATCACTAGGGCCCATTTCGTAACTGTTTTCGCGAGGTTCGCTGGATGGTTTTGGGCTTGGACTCGCTTGAGAGGTGGCGTTGTAGTGGAGCTCGGATACTCGTTCGTCGATCATGGGCAAATCTTGGACTGTGTGAGTTTTAACATTTGAAGCTGTCAGTTTTGCTCTGTCAACTGGAACTTCGGCTGTTTGCACTTATGCAGTTCGAGGAATGACGGAAACTATTATTAAGGTATTATATATTGTGAACCAATTTTCCTGGAGTTTTATTTCTATATTTTAACTTTTAGCTTCTTGGCAACCTTTTCAAATAAAATTACAACCTCAGATTTATTGCCTGTTTTTCAAAATTTTCAAAAAATTATGAAACCTAAATAAAAATTTGTAGGTAGCTTTTTTATTGAAAACTATCAGAAACTTCACTTTTGTGTTTTTGAAGCTTAAATTTCTTCGGAGTTTTTAAACAATTTTGTTTGCGAGAATGACCTTCATTTTTTCATTTTTAATTTGCATACTCACGTTCAGGTAATGTTCTTCCCTCTCTCGCATTTCTGGAATCGGAGCTCCCTTCGAACTCTTCCCAAGTCGATTCTTGTTATTCACCTCTGAATACTCGTGTGAACCACCAGCGAGCGGCGGGAAGTCCGGAGGCGCCCAGCTGTTGACCCTGGACTTATTCCTACTGTCGCTATCCAGCATCCGACTGCTGCTCCCGTCGGCGCTTTGAAGTCCGGAGATACCGACCGGAGTCGTGGTGGACGTTGAATCGTTGTCCGACTCGCACCAGTGGATCTTGTCGTAGTGTATATCATCGTCTAGTTTTTTCTTGTTGTATTCAACAAACAAAATGTCTAATTTGTAAACAAAAACAGAGTCAGAACAAATTGTATATTATATACATTTCGATAGCTTTTTCCCATTTTATTGGTGTTCTTTACTGGTGTTGTTTATTGTTGTCGAGAAATTTTGTTTGATCAAAGATCTGCTCTTACAATTACATATGGTTAAGACCATCCAAACGCTGAAAAGTCGAAAGCTAAAATCGATAACTTTGGTGCGAAAAATAATACAATTCTACAGAAAACAAATAAAAAATAAAAAAAAGGTTTTGTTTGATGAAGCTGATAACCACGAAATTGATTCAACCTATCTAAGAGTAATAACTGTTATTATAACTTAAAGTTTCCGACATTCCGACCCTGTTTTGGATTGATTTGCTGAGCAGGCGGAGGACTAGTTGGCGCCGTAACTGTCCGACTTTCAGCCGCGTCCGAGATATTGATCGGAACTGCCGAATCCTTTTCAAATTTACTTTTAGTTCGTTCGTTCGCTGTTGCCCAAAATTCAGTCGTGTTTGTTGTCGTCGCCCCGGATGATGACTTACTAGAGCCCGTTGTTGTCGGGTCGATCGTGGCCCCATAAGTGGACACTAATTGACCCTGGAGTCCATACATGCTGTACACTTTGACTTCTGGCTCTGCATTTGTGGATTTTTGTGTGGCTCTTTTCTGGTCCAGTTGGTGCAGCCAGTAATCGGTGTCACCGCTTGAAGATTCGGAACCTAAATGAAATGAAACATAAAAAAAAGTTTTCTATCTGAGTCTGAACAAAATTTTGGAAAGGATTGGCTTAACATTTTAGCTTAATGGGTTGGCTCATTGATAGTTTGATGCTGAAGATTTTAAAAATTTGATGATTATTTTGGAGCTGTTTAGAAAACTACTCGGTTTTAATTAGATCTATTTTGGCGTGAAGTAATTTTCTGATGTCTTGAACTTGCATTTTAGATTTGAAGCATTTTCAGCATTGTTAAAAATAGATCTATTCAAACCGAGTAGCGTTTAATTCTTGATCATCAGAAACACCTCAGCAACTTGAAATTTTGTCGATTTTACACAAAACTGCAACGTGTCAAAACCAAATTTGCCCACTTTTGCTTTGATTGACACTAAACCCACAAACTTTGAGCCGTAATTTCAAGAAACAAGGAAAAATTCGATGCAGCACGAATCACGCTCAAAAAAGCTTTAATATGATATCTTTCTGAAAACCATCCGATATTTTTAATGCTAACATTTTAATATATTTTTTCAAAGGTACACATGACCAGATGGAAAATTCTGTATTGCCTTCGTTATCCGGAAGAACACATTTTTTCGTCTATTTTCAAAATCTTCCTTGTGAAAAAGTTGAATTAAGAAATACTCGTTTTGTTCATGAAAGGGTTTGATTGTTGGGTGGTTTTTCCAGCAAATTGACAGCTCATCATCAAACTAAAACAATTTTTAGTGAAACAATGCTGCTCTCATACCCTTTGATTTATCTTAATTTTTGGTTAAAAATTTTACAATGTCTTAGTTTTGAACAGTTTTTTTGCACCCTAAAAACCCAAAAAAATAAAATGTTGAACATGGGTCGTCCGTGGAAACAATATGAACAATTATTTAACATCAATCAATTTAGGAGCCAATTGGAAGGCGAAACAATCCTGCGAGCAGAATGATTTGAATTACGCTTTCAGCATCATATATAAAGTCGTCTAAGCACACAAATTTGTCAGAATATTACAATTTTGGCAACTTTCAAACACCTAAAATTTTACCAAAAAAGATAGCAGGCGAAATGTTTTTTTTTTAACATTCGAGCTCAGGGAAGCTGAGCAGTCCCAAAACGTGTGAACTTTTAGGATCCTTCAATGCAGTTGCAGTTCTATTGTTTTCATCCTTCTTTATTTTCTTAAACGCCACCCTCCAACATCCTTTTAAAATCCCTCCAAAAATGGTTAAATTAAAAGTCAAAATACCTTTGAAGAAAAAACTCATCAAACACAAATATTGCACCCCTTTGTTTTGAATTCAGGTCAACAAGAGAGCTTGTTTCAAGGCAAAGCCCTGAATGTTCCGACTGCCTTTCGATGTGCCCGCTGAAGAAAAGAAGATAAATTTTAAAAACTTTTTTCACACGCAACGCCAATTAGGATGTGCTGTTTTGCATTCAATATCACATAAATTAGATCAATAAGATTGCCTTATTTCTATTTGGAATGATTTCTGAGAGTGATCAAATCGCCGCTGACATTTTTGCATAATAAATGGCTATGCATGATCAGTCGGTTATAGATGCACCAGCATAAGCAAGTTTTTAAATTTATACTTAGATGCAGAGGCAGATCTAGGATTTTCAAAAAAATTTTGAAAATTTTGACGACCTTTTTTTTAGGTCGACCAAATTGATTTTTTGAGCTTTCCCAAACACTGTTTTCCCCTATTTTGGGCTAAATTTTCAACGCCGCACCCCCCCTAAATCCGCCCCTGCTTAGATGTAATTTAGTTCTTTTTTTAATATTTGTTGAATAACAAAACGATCATAATCGATTGCTTAGATGTGCCCAATTTCTGAAAACTATTTAAGGAAAACTATTTAATGAAAGGACTTTTCAAAGAGTTACCAGTCTAGATGTATGATAAGTCTCTTCACTGGCCTTTTTTCAAAAAACTGCCATATCTACAAACCGGTATATTATAGAACCAAATTTGTATCAATTTTACCTAAAAATTGTATATCAACTGTTTTTAAGTTGCAACGCTATACTATTTTTTTTGGCTGGTTTTCAAAAGTATCCTATGTTTGGTTTACTGACCTTTCGGCCTGGTAGTCAGAGCAATATGATATTGAACTTTTAGGGCTGAAATAACAAAAACGATGGAGTGTCTGCTCTTGTTTTACTCAGGGTTGATTTCTATCTGTGGCGATAATTAGGAATCTTAATAAAGCAAGCATAAATTTTAATGCTTTTGGAACCAGTTGAAAACAAGTATTTAAAGCAAGGGCTGATTTAGGGGGGGGGGGAGCGGACACCTTTTTTCTCTCCCCCTCAGGGATTCGACCCCTACCGACCCAAAGGGTCCCCCTTTTTACTATTTTGAGATATCCATATTTGGTGACGAACCGTAAAAATTTTCTAAAGGCACCTAGGGCGCCAATTTATACTAACTTTGAGTTGGGAGCGCGCGCCAATTTTCTGGACGAAATTTTCCAAAAGTGCTTAAAAACGCCTTTCTTGATCTGTTTTTTTAAAATTTCGCCTGCTTTACCAAAAAAGAGTCTTTTTAAGGCTTTGGGAGAGCTCGGAAAATCAATTTGGTCGGCCTAAAAAAAAACTACAAAATTTTTGATTTTTGTTTTTGAAAATCAGCCCCCCAACAATTTCCTAGACCCAGCCGCCCCTGATTTAAAGTATTTGTTATATTACTTGATACTTATCACTTTAAAAAATTAAGAACTAACCAAGCGCGATCCAGTACTAAAACTTATGATATACTCATAGTTTGAACCAGAGAAAATATAATACAGCTTAGAAATCAGTTTCCTCTTTCTCTCCTTTAACCTCACAGGAATACCAGTATATACTAGGTCTATTGAGACTAGGAAAGGTAAAAGTAAGATTAAGATTGATATAAGAATAAAAAGTTGCCAAATTTATCCGGCCAAAAATAAGATAGTGGGAGCAACAGATGGGGTTCCTTATCTGAAATTCATCCTTTTTTCTTTTCTTAAACGCCACCCTCCAACATCCTTTTAAAATCCCTCCAAAAATGGCTAAATTATAAGTCAAAATACCTTTGAAGAAAAAGTCTCATCAAACACAAATATTGCACCCCTTTGTTTTGAATTCAGGTCAACAAGAGAGCTTGTTTCAAGGCAAAGCCCTGAATGTTCCGACTGCCTTTCGATGTGCCCGCTGGAGTTTTTGAAGAAAAAGAAGATCAATTTCAAAAACTTTTTTCACACGCAACGCCAATTAAGATGTGCTGTTTTGATTCAATGTCACATAAATTAGATCAATAAGATTGCCTCATTTCTATTTGGAATGATTTCTGAGAGTGATCAGATCGCCGCTGACATTTTTACATAATAAATGGCTATGCATTATCAGTCGGTAAAAGATGCACCAGCATAAGCTAGTTTTTAAATTTATACTTAGATGCAGAGGCAGATTTAGGATTTTCAAAAAAATTTTGAAAATTTTGACGACCTTTTTTTTAGGTCGACCAAATTGATTTTTTGAGCTCTCCCAAACACTGTTTTCCCCTATTTTGGGCTAAATTTTCAACGCCGCACCCCCCCATAAATCCGCCCCTGCTTAGATGTAATATAGTCCTTTTTTACCATTTGTTGAATAACAAAACGATCATAATCAATTGCTTAGATGTGCCCAATTTCTGAAAACTATTTAAGGAAAACTATTTAACGAAAGGACTTTTCAAAGAGTTACCAGTCTAGATGTATGATAACTGTCTTCACTGACCTTTTTTCAAAAAACTGCCATATCTACAAACCGGTTTATTATAGAACCAAATTTGTATCAATTTTACCTAAAAATTGTATATCAACTGTTGTTAAGTTGCAACGCTATACTATTTTTTTGGCTGGTTTTTAAAAGTATCCTATGTTTGGTTTACTGACCCTTCGGCCTGGTAGTCAGAGCAATATGAAATTGAACTTTTAGGTCTGAAATAACAAAAACGATGGAGTGTCTAATCTTGTTTTACTCAGGGTTGATTTCTATCTGTGGCGATAATGAGGAATCTTAATAAAGCAAGCATAAATTTTAATGCTTTTGGAACCAGTTAAAAACAGGTATATAAAGCATGGGCTGATTTAGGGGGGGGGGGCGCCTTTTTCTCTCCCCCTCAGGGATTCGACCCCTACCGACCCAAAGGGTCCCCCATTTTACTATTTTGAGATATCCATATTTGGTGGCGAGCCGTAAAAATTTTCTAAAGGCACCTTGGGCGCCAATATATATTAACTTTGAGTGGGGAGCGCGCGCCAATTTTATGGTCGAAATTTTCCAAAAAGTGCTTAAAAACGCCTTTCTTGATCTGCTTTTTAAAATTTCGACTGCGTTACCAGAAACGAGTCTTTTTAAGGCTTTGGGAGAGCTCGGAAAATCAATTTGGTCGGCCTAAAAAAAAATCTACAAAATTTTTGATTTTTGTTTTTGAAAATCAGCCCCCCAACAATTTCCTAGACCCAGCCGCCCCTGATTTAAAGTATTTGTTATATTACTTGATACTTATCACTTTAAAAAATTGAGAACTAACCAAGCGCGATCCAGTACTAAAACTTATGATATATTCATAGTTTGAACCAGAGAAAATATAATACAGCTTAGAAATCAGTTTCCACTTTCTCTCCTTTAACCTCACAAGAATACCAGTATATACTAGGTCTATTGAGACTAGGAAAGGTAAAAGTAAGATTAAGATTGATATAAGAATAAAAAGTTGCCAAATTTATCCGGCCAAAAATAAGATAGTGGGAGCAACAGATGGGGTTCCTTATCTGAAATTCATCCTTTTTTATTTTCTTAAACGCCACCCTCCAACATCCTTTTAAAATCCCTCCAAAAATGGCTAAATTATAAGTCAAAATACCTTTGAAGAAAAAGTCTCATCAAACACAAATATTGCACCCCTTTGTTTTGAATTCAGGTCAACAAGAGAGCTTGTTTCAAGCAAAGCCCTGAATGTTCCGACTGCCTTTCGATGTGCCCGC